CGTGTGATGAAGCTCTGCACGGGGGCTCTGAGGGAATGTACCTCTCGGAGGGAAGGTCAGTCGCAGTGGGGGAGTCTTCTACCTCGCGGTCGTGATCAGGTGCAGGAGTGGATGTTTCTGCGACCGGATCAGGTGTAGAAGTAGTCGAAGCCGGGGTACCGAGGTAGCGGTCAATGGAGGGCTGCGGACCGGTTCGTACCTTGCTCTGCGACGCCGGGGAAACCTGCCTGGTGTGGGTAAACGGAAGCGGACGGTATCTGTTGCCGCTGCGGGCGAGCACCGCAGTGCAGAGGGCATCGTAAGGCTGTGGGCTGGTGCTTGAAGTGGCAGCGAGATGGCGCAACTCTACCGGGAGGGCGTCGAGAAGAATGCCGTGCATCAGCAGCTGGTCCGTGATGCCATTCACCGCAAGAACGGCGTCGAGCTGCATAAACCATACCTTGGGGTAGGTCGATTGGAACGGCGGCACTGGCGGGCAGAGTTGCGGGAACATGGCCGCGGGTCGCTCGGCGAAGGGCGTGTTTTCCGGGTCACCAATGTAGCGGCGAGAGAAGAGAGACGTGAGAAGACGTCGAAGGCGGCTGATGGGGCCGTGCCGTACGCGCCACTTTATTCCCGGCCTGAAGCGGAGGCACGTCGGTTACCAGCGTCCGCCACGCCAGGCGTGTCAGCTCGTTCTCATCCTCGCGCAGCTCGAGCTCGCGCCAGCTGCGCGAGAGACGCGGCGCGGTGATGAAAAAAATGATGATGATGATGATGATGATGGCACTACAATGTCATTGAGCCTTCAACGAGTCCTTGGACATCCCCTGTGCTCTAAGTTAAAAAGAAGGACAACACCTGGTGCTTTTGCGTCGACAATCGCCACCTGAATCGGATCCCCAAAGAGGACGTTTATCCTTTACCCCAAATCGATGATGCGCTCGACTGCCTCCAAGGCGCCAACTATTCCTCGTTCCTTGTCCTTCGATCCGGATACTGGCAAATTCCGGTCGACGACCGCGACCGCGAGAAGACAGCATTCATCACACCCGACGGCCTTTACCAATTCAAGGTCATGCCTTTTGGGTTGTGCAGTGCCCCGGCTACTTTCGAACGTATGATGGACTCTCTTCTTGGCGGTTTCAAATGGTCGACCTGCCTTTGCTATCTGGATGATGTAATTGTTTTCTCGCCCTCCTTCGAAAGCCACCTGTCTCATCTCTCGGCAATTCTTGACGTTTGTCGTTGCGCTGGTCTCCAACTGAATTTGTCGAAATGCTCATTTGGACGCCGACAGACTTAACTACTCGGCCACCTTGTTGACGCCACTGGTGTTCAACCCGACCCTGACAAAGTCCGTGCAGTCCGAGAATTCCCAGTTCCGCGTTCTACACAAGAAGTTCGCAGTTTTATTGGGCTCTGCTCATACTTCCGCCGCTTTGTCTTCAACTTTGCGGATATTGCCAGGCCCCTTACAGATCTCCTCAAAAAGGATGTGGCCTTTTCTTCGAGAAGGGACCAAGAACATTCCTTCGCGTCGCTAATTACCGCCCTCACATCACCCCCTGTGTTGGCTCATTTTGATCCGGCGACTCGAACAGAGCTTCACACCGATGCAAGTGGCCATGGCAATGGTGCTATACTCGCTCAGATACAGAATGGCACCAACCGTGTGATAGCCTACGCTAGCCGCCTTTTATCGCAACCGGAACGAAATTATTCCATCACTGAGCGGGAATGCTTATCCCTCGTTTGGGCTATTGCGAAATTCTGTCCGTACTTATCGGACGTCCGTTCGCAGTCATCATGGACCATCATGCGCTTGGCTGGCTATCGATGCTTAAGGACCCTACAGGAAGACTCGGCCGATGGGCACTTAGATTACAGGAGTACACGTTCTCGGTTGTTTACCAATCTAGAAAGCTGCACAGTGATACTGACTGCTTATCCCGGCACCCTGTTTATCCACCTAGCTCCACTGATTTGGAATCCGATGCCTGCGTTTTAGTCATCACTGACTTTCTCAACGTGGCCGACAAACAGCGCCGAGATCCATCGCTGCCCACCATCATTGACCGCCTTCAATCGCGTTATGCGGACCCTTCTCTTAGCAGATACCTGCTTGAAGACAACGTTTTGTACCGCCGCAACTTCCACCCCAATGGCGCGGAACTTTTACTCGTCGTACCGCATCACCTGCGAAAGGATGTTCTGCGACAATTCCACGACGCTCCAACTTTTGGACATCTAGGAGTCTCCGGAACTTACGACCGCATTCGACGACGAGTATTCTGGAAGGGTCTCTACCGCTCTGTTTGCCGTTACGTCGCATCTTGCGAGCTCTGCCAGCGTCGAAAGAAGCCTACGACTCCCCCTGAGGGTCTTCTTACACCTATTCATGTTCCAGCTGAGCCATTTTATCGAGTGGGGCTGGACTTGCTACGTCCCTTTCCTACTTTTACAAGCTGAAATAAATGGATTGCAGTGGCCAAGACTATGCCACTCGGTATGCAATCACTCGAGCACTACCAACCACCTGCGCAACCGACGTTGCCGACTTCCTGCTGTACCACAGTATTCTCCAGCATGGCGCTCCGTCTCCCCTGCTCACAGACCGTGGTCGCTACTTTCTATCTCGTGTGGTTGATGATATACTCCGATCTTGTACTACCCGTCACAACTTCACCACATCTTACCACCCTCAAACTAATGGCCTTACGGAGCGCCTAAACCGCACATTGGCAGACATGCTGTCCCTGTACGTATCTAATGACCGCACTGATTGGGACATAGCTCCTCCGTTCGTAACCTTCGCCTATAACTCGTCGCGTCATGAAACAGCGGGCTACTCCCCTTTTGATCCACTCTTCGGACGTCATCCCTTACTGCCCTTCGACACACTGCTTCCATCAGACCACCCATCCTCCACTTAGTACGCTCAGGATGCGATCACCCGTGCCCTCACGGCACGTGCGGTAGCGTGCGCTCGGTTATCGTCATCGCAGACAGCACAAAATTCCCTTTACGACCGTCGACATAGAGATGCCGTTTTTTCGGCGGGATCTCTTGCTCTTGTTCTCCTGTGGCTCCCATCTCGACGTGTTGGCCTCTGCGCGAAACTACTATCGCGATACGCTGGGCCCTACCGAGTCATTCGTCAGGTCACACCTGTGACCTACGAGATTGCCGCTACCACAAACTCATCAGCTGCTCCACCCAGAACGTAAGTAGTCCACGTTTCTCGTCCCAAGCCCTGCAACGCCGACTCGCTCATTTCACGGGCACCGAGACGGTGTCTTACGGGCCGGGTTGATGATACGTGTATGGAACTGTCGCCCTGACACAGCTGAATTGGCACCCAAATGAAGAAGACGACAACGTAGTTGTTGTGGGTTGGACTCTCGAGCTTCTCCCGTTGGCCTGCCTAACTGTGCGCTCTTTAGGCCGTAGCAAGACCAGCTCTCGGTGAATAAATCTTCCCCGTAACAATATAATCAACTATGAATGAAAGCAAATATTTACTTTTATCGCTATTGCACTCATAGGGATACTCTGGAAGAGTTTTTAGAGTAGGAGTCAGCATCGCAATTACGTCCTCTATACTGTCTAACTTTGCAAACACTCCTTCACACACAATATGTCCTTTCCGTGGGTTAGAGCGTGCAAGTGGGGACAACAAAGGTGGCTGAAGCAGTCTTCAAACAAGCCATATATATGTGTTGCTTGGCGGGCGAATTCAATTGCATTTCTCATCATATGACTTTCAGTACAATGCTGAATTTCCTAAGAGGAAATGCCCCGCCGTTTTTGAACAAGCATCAAGGGACGCAAAAAGGGTGGCCTGGCTCTGCTACTCGTTGCTTAATATTTTGCGATCACCTACTTTGTCCCCCGAAAAGCCGCTGTATCAGAAGTGCCGAGTCAAACACGAAGCCTGAGCGCAGCTCAACTATGCCGTCTCAGCTGTGGTGTTCTAATTTAAGAATCTCGCGAACACCCGGAAACAGAGGAGCAAAGGGCACAAGATTACGCGCTTCTATAGTTAGTCTGTGTTGTGAAGCTTTGCGGCTTTTCAAATTGGCCCCAATCTCTTAACTGGGCCTTCTAGTTCACTTATGATGTCTCGTCCGCCTGTGGTGGTGCCTCGGTGTGGGTGCCCAGCTACTGGAGCGAAGGTGGAGAGTTCAATCAATATTGTGCTCGTTGCATTTTGACGGAGGTGAAACGCTACAGGCTGCCTACTGCGCGATATCACTGCGAGTTAAGAAATACTAGATGGTTAACTTTTCCACAGCCTTGCTATAATGCATGCGCCATAAATATACAGTATGCTTGTACTTACAAGACCAAATTTTATCATAATGGATTCTTCAACAATACCAGCTTCTGTACTGAAAACATATGAACAGTACAATTGTGTACATGAAATAAAAATAGTTACCAGTGAAACGTTTGTCTTTTGACCACATCAAACAATGTTCTCAGACAGCAAAAAAAACTCGAGGTTAAAAAAATGAGCCTGCAAAGAGGCCGATAACCTTTAGGATATGAAAATATCATAACAAAAAGAGAACCACCGATCTGCGAGGCTCGGTAAACCCAACCACTGGTGCCTGCATAAAGCACTAGAAAAACATTTATGGCGTCTCAAACTGACATTTTCTGGCCCTGAAAAGTTCACTTTTTCGTACCATCATCCCTATCATATACCTAGGCTATTTCTGGTTGATGTCCACATATTAGTGCTGAGTCTGAAAGTCCATAATCCTAGTGCGTCCTCATTAACGGCCATCCTGAAGTGACATAATTTTGACTGTGAACTCGATTTACTCTCGGATGGTAAAAAATTTCGCAGTGTACTGTGACGGCGTCCCTGATTATTACACCGTAATTCGAAGGTGGAAAAGCCCTGGAATGGTATTGTTACAGTTGAGCACTTCTCGCTCCTTTTTTCCAGGTTTCTTTATTATTGTGTTGGCTGTTGTTTTGATACTAATATCAGTACGTTTTATTTTCAGTGAATTCGAGCACAAAACATGACTGTGTGAACACCACCTGGAATCCTAAAAATTGCACAGGTGAGTTGGCGTTGGCAGCCGCGCGAGATGGAAGAACACATATCGGATCGACAAATCTACTACGCGGCCCACGGGAAGAAAATGTTGCACAAAATCAAAATAGTGGAGATTCTGGTGTTTACACCTGTAGGTACTAAGTAGTGGTGGGTGACATATAGTAATTATTGCCTCTGTTACACGACAGTTTCGAAGCTGTTCAACCGATTGTATATCGACTGAATAGCAGAGCAAGACATTATACCGTAGAATCTAAATTCACACCGAGTCAATAGTCGATCGAGCCGAGAATTGTCTCGCTCACTATTGCAGTAGTGGGGTAAGCACGCGATAAAATAATGGTTAAGAAAAACGATGTTATATCAGATATTCCGAGACAGCAATGTGCCACTCGGTGATTATACTTAAAAACAGTGAAAAGGACATCGAGTACATTGTGAAACGTCATCCTACTGCAAATACGCAAAAATTTCCGTTAAATGTTAATCAATAATAATCACACGTAGACCTCCCTTGGTCTCCATGTGAGACTCAGAGTATTGAAATAAAACAAATATTGAACACTGTAATCGACGGAGAGTGGGAAGGGACATGGGTTAATCCCCTCTTCCCCCACCTCACCCGGTAAAGCTGCCGGACTTTGAATGAAGTCTATTCATTGATTCATTCATTCATTCATTCATTCATTCATTCATGCATTCATTCTAGGCCTATAACTGGATATACTGGATGGAGTTCGCATTGGGTCTATTGTAATGTACGTTTATTCATTGATCTATTCTACACACAAAATCTTGCTATATCAGGACCTGAAGTAGACTCACGCCTATATTACAGCAGTGCAATGACAGTATAAAATTTTTATAGGGCCTTCGCACACATTTTCGGGCAAAGGATTCAAGCACTCATTCATATTTGAAATAATAATTTAGTAAATAATGTCTAACTGACGTAATAAATATCTATAGATCATCTCCCCGAAGAGAACGCTAATGAGAAGGGAAGCAGCAGCAGTGCGCACGGCGTTGACCCGGTTGAACCGGGTGTCAACGTGGGTGCTGGAAGAGCGGTTTGAAGTGAAACTCAGTGTAGCGTTTACTGGAATAAACGTTTGTTTGAAACGCAAAGACAAAGGAAGAGGAACGCGTTGAAGACACTTGTGCATGTCTTCTTGGGCTCGCGTCTCATCGGTGTTACCCGCGCGCCATCTCTATTCTCGAACGTGATCGGCTTTTTTAATTCGCACCTCATCAGTATAGTTGGTCTTCCACTGCCGACGCTTGCGTTCGGCTTCTCTGGCTCGCGCCTCGTTGGTGTTCCGGGCGCGACGTCACCATTCGCGAACACCTCAAACAGAAAGCACGCTCGAAAACAGCGTACACAGTGCGAGCGTGGACTAACAACGTTCACACCTCAATTCTTAAAGCACGCTGTTCGAACAAAAAGAAAGATGCATGACATGAGCGCATAAGTATACACAGGATAAACGCGAGTAACTGTAACAATACTTGCTGCGCCACGTGTCAGCATCGCGTTCATTTCGTAAACGCGGTGGTGGCAGCGTCCGAAGTGACCTTCGTCTTCTCCCGAATTACGAGTCTGTGATAAACATGCGTGCAGAGTCATAGTGTTTCGTGGAAGCGGCACTTTGTAGAGGTGACCTTCGTGGAGGTAACATTTAGAGCACCCCAACGTGAGCCTGTCGCGACTTCTCGCCGCAGATAACGAAAACGCGATAGTGTTTCCGAGCTACGAGGACTCTTCAATGGTGTGTGGTGAATATAAATGGCGTGCCGTTAGCAATCTAGGCCACGTACGCTCTATGGCGGCATTCTTTCGCCGTCACTCGCACGCGACGGACGCAAGAATCATGGGCTCCCGCGGAGCAGCGAAGATGGTTATTGGTTGCCGCGAAAACAGGATTACAGATGAAAGTGACAAGGATCTTGAGTCTTGCCGAATCTGCCAACAGGATTTCTGGTTTTGAACACAGTGTTCTTGCACGGTGATATTCTAGTGAGGCGTTTCAAGGTCGAATATTTCCGCGATGCGCCGGCCAAAGAACGGCTGCTTCCTTACGTAATAGCATTGGGCGCCTATCATATTGTCACAATATTATGTTATCCGGCTCAGCTTGTTGGAGCAAACGAAAAGAGCGCAAGAAGGGGGAGACGGGGTGGCAAAAATCACTCATTTTCCTGAATGTGACGGATACAGCAAGACGAGGAAGCATCCAGATAAGCAGAACCCCACTAAATAAATACTACGTCCTATCACGGCAACTTCGAACTTGTGTCCCTTTTTCCAAGTCAGTACATATCTACATGCATCCTCAAATTGAGAGTAACCACTCTCGGCTGCGCGTCCTCGCTATCGTAACTCACCACGTCTGTCCCTCTCGTCCTTTGTGTTGGTGTCTACCGTTGTTTCGTGCATGATGCAAGGTGCTGACCTGGCGTTTTCTTGTTCCACTCACTGCAAACAGGCTCTCCTGGTGCGCCTCTTAACACCCTGGTACATACGCTGGGGTGGGGCAGACGGATGGCTGCGAGCCTGGGCTCGTTGAAGGTCGTCGTCGCATGCGCTGACCAGTCCCGGCAACTCCCCGCACAGCTGGCCAGCAGGATGTTTGAAGCATAAAAACGGCAGCTTGCCGAGGTGGAAACTCAGGCGGACATCTAAGCTCTCTAAGACTATGTCATGACCCAGACTATCTAGAACCTCCACCGTCTTCTCTGTCGTCCTGGCCTGCCACGTTCTCCACTGCGCGTGCCCGTTCAATACGACATCCCCAAGTGCACTTCTTCTTTCTCGTCATCCCTGACAAGATAGCCCCTACCTTCTCGAATTTCGCTCTCAAAAATTTTCTTCGCAACAGCATTGCACTTGACGTCACACGTTATCTCATTGCGCGTAGCCAACACCACTACTCCAGCACCGCACTTCACCACAACACACCCTGTCACGATGCACGTCACCGCTGTATGTTACGTCACTAGGACTTTAGTGCACACCCTGAGCACTTCAATGCACATCAGAAACATGCACAGCCTCACAATCTACTGTTTCACCGTTCGCCGATCAGCGCACTTCTCTACCCCCCTGCAGTATCCGAATCAGTTACATGAACACATACACTTCATACAACTATAGTCAATTTGCAACATCCATCAAGCATTACTGTGGATTTATCAATATGGTCCTGCATTTATACTCTACACTCGTACTGCTCAATACTCCGCGTAATAATTAACTTTGTCCAATTACTTTAGCGGGCTCGACCTACATTTCGCACACGACCTGACAAAACATTTCACATGGCTTTGCATGTACGGCCAAAAGAAGTGTTCTGCAACGATGCCAGTCGTCTTTCTCATTTCTTTATGGTCATCGATTCCAGCGCTATGCGCCCGATTGATAATTGCCCTTCGCATACCCAACGGCACAACCAATTGTTGTTTTTCAACTTTATCGGGGCCCTTTACTAATCGGTAGAGCAGTCTTCCAATCTTGGTAAACTTTTTCATATGTTGGCTTATTTTACAATAAATCCGCTTCCTTTGCGCATCGAAAAACCGACGCAAGGTACTATGCGCTTCTTGTTTTTGCCTAAACTCGTCGGTCGTAGCGTGTCATAAGATATCTGCGTTAAACTTATGCAGTCTTCTTTCTTGTTACCATTTCCTGCGATTTCTTCCACTGGACGTGCGGCAGCTTCTCTTGTTACTACGTCCCTTTGTCTTCCTTATTGGTGACCTCACTCTCTTCTGTCTTCCTTCTAATTGCAATTTTTGTAGTGGGGATGCTCCACAAGAGGCCTTGATTGTTCACTCCTCTAGCACCTTGTATGTTCCATAGAGTGACGACATCCATCAGGTTCCTAGCACACCGTGCCTCGATCCACCCGCAGTAATATAGTGTCAAGATAAGAACTCGTGCCACACGCATTTCCAGCATGGTTTTGTCCGCCAATCGGACGAGCGTTTGTTCCTCTTTCAGGTCACTTTCAGAGACCAGGCACTCTCTTACAGCACGATGTTTGACCCTGTATCTTTAAGTACAGTTACTGTTCGTCACTGCATGATTCCTTCCGCCACTGGCATAAAACCGTTTCCAAGTCTGGGCTGTACTGCCGTTGTGACAGCATATGTCTCGTCCTTGTCCTCTTGCGGAAGCCTCTTGGTGCTGTGACCACACACTGAACTCTCGTTCGCAGCAATGCAAGCTGTCTCGTTTGCTGGCCAGCTTCTCCAGCTTTCTGTTGAATGTCCACGACGTCCACAGCGCTCGCACTGCAACGAAGATCTGCGCATACGACCCAGCTGACAACTTCAAGCTCTGTGTCCTGTTTGGTCACAGAGAAGCATTCGCTAACAATTCGAGTCTGTTCTTTTTTCTCTTTCTCTTCCTTTTCCTTTCCGAAATTTTTCTGGCCCTCGGCTTTCAGATAGCGGTCCGCATGTTCTGCCAGCTCAGCCACGGTCTTCAGGTCGCACTGTTTGAGGATCACAGTGACACTCCATGACAAGAAGCCAAAAACAGTTCCGCTATCATGTGGTCCCTGAAGTCTTCGAACGTCCTACCTACTTTACCCATCTCCAACCAGCGATCAAAATAAGTGGAGGTGTCGGCGGGAAACTGTTGACCGGTCTCATTTTCAATGAGTTTACAAGTTCTTAACTTCTCCCGGAAGCCTTCTGCAGTGAGCCTAAATTGTTGCAATAGCGTGACCTTCAACTTGTCTTAGTCGAGCGCGTGAGCTGCTGGCATCCGACTGAAGACCTAAATGCTTACCCAACAACACACGTACAGAGCCCAATGGCCCAATCGTATTTCTGCCATTTTTTGTCGTGACAATCCTCTAGAAATGCTGGATATACGCGTAATGATTATCCCGGTTCTCGTCGAACTGCTCCATGAACTTATAGGGGCAGACCTTGCCCACTCTCTGGGGTGCAGTATGAGATACCGTTCGGGTCCCTTTGCCATTGTTCAGTGCACAA